TTAATAATATTCTGGCGGTCTGGTGCAGAAAGCGTTGAGTTTAAATTGGAATCATTTTTAATTAACATTGATTATCTTTGAAAAGTCAGAGAATATGGAAGCCATTTCTCCAGTCTCAAAAATAGATTTTGGTTAAGTCAAAATTTGATTTCTGAAAACTTAACTGTTTTAGACAAAAATCTTCTTGGTACAAATTAGAACCAAGTAAATCAGTTCAGTAAGCAATGAATTTGTAATTTATTTTTGATTTATAACAACTCTTTCAAAACATACATGAATTTGATTGACTGTGACAAGTTACCTTATTACCCACAGATCCATTAATTGTATTGCTGTGATGTAAAAAAAAAAAAAAACTAACATGACTAATTGTTTCACCACCATGATATCATAACAAAATTGTAATAATAGAAAGAAGAATAAATGAGAAAAGGAATATTTTGTTTATATTGTTTACAGTCAGACTAATATCCTTGTCATTGTTTACAGAAAAAGGCCAGAGGTCATAACAGCTTGAATGTTGTCATAGTAACAAAGATGAGGATTGTAGTTTGAATGAAAACGTTTCGCCCCAGAAATTTATAGCAGAATATTTTGAACAAAAAGTTTTTGTGTCTTTAATTTGTAAAATGAACTTGGTCTTTCATTAAACTGCTAAAAAATTATATTGCTTAAGATTTTCATTTTTTTTGTATGAATGAAATCTATAAATTTGTCAGTTTGAAATACTTTGACTAGTTTTCCTTATTCTATATGCCATATCTCTTCAAAACATTGGCGATCATGGCTCTCCAAAACTTCCTGTCCTTTTTAGCTCTTAGTAAAATTTCTTTTTAATAGCTTTCCCTCTCCCTGTTCTGCCAACCATTTACATAAGCTTGTTAGGCTTGTTACTGACTGCTTTCTTCTATCCCTCTGTGCCTTCAGTATGTCTTGTGAGTGCCAAATTCTCTAAGCCCTCTTTTCTCATTATGTGTCCTATAACATTTCAACTCTCTCTTTCTGATTCTATGTATAATCGTCCTTTTTGTTTCCATCTTGCCTTAAAACTTCCTAATTACTCACATGTTCAGGCCAGGGTATTTCCAGTTTCCTTCCATAGAACCATTTCTCTTTTACTATCTGTCTCTCATCAGTTTTCCTTTATCTTTTTCAATTGTACACATTTTGGGTTTTTTTAAGCTGATAAATTCTAGAGATTTTAAATGAAACTGAAGGAAATCTATAAAGAAGCAGTTTTAAAGCAAAACCAAACCCACAACCCATACTCAGGAACATCTAATTTTTCTGTAGATTATGTCATTCTAAAGCTGAGACTTACTCCCCCCACATCCCCCTTCCCTCTCCACCAAGTATATCACAGTTCTTCATAACAGCCTTGTCTTACATCCAGAAATGTTTGCTCCTTCTCAGCCACTTTTGCTATTACAACACTTATTTTTATATTTGATTTAATTTGTCATTGCTTTCCTCTACATTCACAATGTGAGTGTTAAATTCTCCAAGCTTTCCTTCCTCATTATGCATTTAAAATATTCTCGTTACCTTTGATTGAGGGCAGCAATTTCTTTTCCATTTCCCATTCTTTTTTAATCTAATTTTTCACATCTTACAAATGAGTAAGAAAACTCATAATAGAAACATGAAATGCTGTATCATATATTTATGAGTATTAATGTTTCCTGCTATATAAAGTACACGTAATAAAAAAAAAACTCATGACATGTAAAGACCAGTTTGTCACAATAGGCTTTTGATGACTTTAGAATTATATATTTAATGCTTAAATTATGATTAGAAAACAAAAATGTTAAAACAATATATTAAATAAATCATCAGGTGACTAATAGTCAATATTTTTCCTCTATTTATTGTGGACAATATTGTCATTTCCTTTCTTACAAAGATGCACAACAAAATTAGCACAGGTCTTCATTTCACTAAAAGGTATAATTTGCATCTACAGATATTTAAGAAATTCATTCAAAACATTTGTCTTTAATTACTGTTAGCAAATTTTTTTTAATTGTTTTAGTGACTTAATACAGTCACTAAAACAGTTAATCTATTTTTAATCGCATTTCACCAGTTTCATTAGTGTGAGACTTGGTTTTAAATTTAGACCAGATAAAAAGATTTATTCTACAAAACAAATGGCTACTTTAAATATATATGTAGTTACAGATGTACACACAAACTGTGTGTGTGCATATTATATATATATATATATATATATATATATATATATATATATACCTTTTTTTTGTTTTAGAGAGAGAGAGTACATATTAAAAGATTCTTGTTCTGACAAAAAATTTTTTAGATTTTGGGAAGTGTTCTGTGTAATTTTTATTATATTTTTCCAATTTTTGAATAAGGTGTTGAGTATTGTGCCCAAAGTTGTAGATAAGGGATAATTTCAGATATCTACAACTTTGAATACAATACTCAACAGCTTAGTGGAAAAATACAATAAAAATTTAATAGACAGAACTTGTTGGTTCTTTTTACTCAAAATTGTTTGGATGAATATTTGCTTTTATATATATATATATATATATATATATATATATATATGAGAGAGAGAAAGAGAGAGTGTGTATTTTTCAGAATATAAGACATACTTATTTTGAAAAGTAATCAATGAAAATTTAAATATTGATTAAGTGATTACTGATGTTAACTGCATTAAGCATTCTGAGTGATGTGCATTTCATATTTGAAATCCATACTATCGTTATAAATAGCACATTCAAATCAATTAAATCATCCCTATATATATATATATATATATATATATATATATAGTGAACATTGAAGTCAACACTCAGAGGCGACAGGCTGTTTCATGCTGGATGCAATCACCAGGCCGCCTGACAATTGCATCTAGCTTAAAATATTGTGATATTTACATCTCAAAGGATATCAAATTTTTTGAAACACCCTGTATTTTGCATCTACAAGAATTCAAATTAACAATTACTACTTGTGTCATTTTTTATCCCTTTATGCCCATAATTATCATTTAACACAGTTGACAACAATTGCACATAGAGAGACACACAGACACTGCAGGTAGATACAGACACACATTCTTGCAAACGGCAGACACACTACATTTACACACACACACACACACACAGAGGTAACAGTCTGTTTCATGCTAAATGCAATTGCCAGGTCATGACAATTATATTTAGCATGAAACAAACGGTCACCTCTGGGTGTTGACTTCAATGTGCACTTTTATATTTACATACATTATCCCTGATATTGAGCACTTTAACCCATCAATATAACATACCTTAAAACATATATATTAGAAATAATTATGCATTTAGTGTGTTTGCATATAAAATATGTATACTGATCAACTGAAATTTGCATTTATGCATATCTACATTTATACAGAGACATATATGCATACAAAAACACTCACTTATACATAAGCTAAAAAAAAAAAAATTGGTGGAATTTTTAAAAACATAAAAAATGAGGAATGGTTATTGTGGTGTTGGTGTTTGCTTACCTGAGAGGTCTTGGAAGTTTGGAGAGAGAAATCTGCAGATATGTTTGTATATAATCATAGACAGAACTTTCACTGCTACTGCCATCACCATTACTACTACTATTTATGGTCCTTCTTTCACTACTACCAGTACTTTTAATTGTATTAGTAGTTGTAGTGGTTTTACAGGTATATGGAAATTCATACCTGTAGGCTGGCAGTAGCTGGTTGCTACTATCTTGCTTATTGGACATGTTACCAGCACCAGTCGCATGCCGAACAAGTGACTCGGTTGACAGTCTGTGGGTAAGGAAATGATTTGCTGGGATGTTGTTGGGATAAAAGTTAGTGAGTGAATGACAGGTGAGCACCCTGGGGTGATCAGAAAAGAGGAAGTGGGCTCTACACTAACAAGCAGTAGCTTAGAAAGGAAAAAAGAAGAAAAAGAAGCCAAGCTACAACAATCAGTAATGCTTTTGTTTTATTTCTTTTGTTAACATTTAAAATTTGTCACTAGTTTATATTCACTTGAGAGAACACATCTTAGCCACCATTGAGAGGTAAATAGGACAGCAAATATTGTGGACATGTTATTTTGGTGAATAGAGCTCGGTTTTAATGTCTGATACTCTGAGGGTGGGAGGAAGCAGGTCTCCCATCTGAAAAATTAACTCCCACATATACTCACCTATTTATGATAAAACAAATAAAAATACTAACAGTAATGGCAATATTGGTCATTTCCTTATAAGGAAACATTCAACATTCATTGACCAAGCAGCTAGTGTCATTCTAGGTTAAAATTTATAAAATCTTTCTATTAAAACAATTTTTTTTTAGAAAAATAGGTTTCTCAAGTCCTGTTATTTTCTCAAGTAACTGTTATTGCTCTTTCTTATATTGATGGGGGGGGTTGTCTTGCTTTTTGTTTGAAGTAGTTTGGAATGTCAACATCTCGATTATGTCATTATTTTCAGAGTTACACAGGATATTTTTCCATTTTAGTTGCTGGTAATCCTCAAATGATACAATTTCTGTTATTTCATACAATTCTTTGTTCGTAATTCTGCAGTGCCAGTTTCGAAGAAAAATGGTCTTCACCAAGAGTCATGGGTTTCATTTGCTCAAAATGCTTATCTTTAAGCATTGAACCGAGAAAGCAATGATATATGATAGATTAAATATAAATATCCAAGCTATTTTATTAGCTGTTTGCAAAGATTTCAGCATTAAAAAAATATGGTGTTTCTTATTGTATAATTATTTGCCTGCTGCCCAACGCAGCAAGATGTGGCACAAGGCTGAGTTTAAAGTGGGATATCCAAGCCTGTATGCTCGGGTAAAAATTCCCTATAGACCACATAAAAACGGAGTTAGTTTCCAGACACGAGATTCTGCCCTTCGGCAGAGTCTCATCTGGGGGATACCCTCTGACATATATTCAATCTGTCTAGTTTAAAAAAAGAAAAGAGAGAGAGAGTGATTGGTACTATTATGAGAAAAGAGAGAGAGAGTGATTGGTACTATTATGAGAAAAGAAAGAGAGAGTGATTGGTACTATTATGAGAAAAGAAAGAGAGAGAGAGAGAGAGTGATTGGTACTATTATGAGAAAAGAAAAAGAGAGAGAGAGAGTGATTGGTACTCTTATGAGAAAAGAAGGAGAGAGAGAGAGTGATTGGTACTATTATGAGAAAAGAAAAAGAGAGAGAGAGAGTGATTGTTACTCTTATGAGAAAAGAAAGAGAGAGAGAGTGATTGGTACTCTTATGAGAAAAGAAAGAGAGAGAGAGTGATTGGTACTCTTATGAGAAAAGAAAGAGAGAGAGAGAGTGATTGGTACTCTTGAGAAAAAAAGAGAGAGAGAGAGTGATTGGTACTCTTATGAGAAAAGAAAAAGAGAGAGAGAGAGAGTGATTGGTACTCTTATGAGAAAAGAAAGAGAGAGAGTGATTGGTACTCTTATGAGAAAAGAAAGAGAGAGAGAGAGTGATTGGTACTGTTATGAGAAAAGAAAGAGAGTGCGATTGGTACTATTATGGGAAAAGAAAGAGAGAGAGGGTGTGATTGGTACTATTATGCACACCTCATAGCTTAAAACATATTCTGATAAAGTATTAAAAAGGCTATCAAAATGTCTATGGGTAGAATGAAGCGTCATTTATGTGTAGCATGCTTGAAACTATGACAAAGAATGAAAAAAGGGCTTTTTCAAGCAAGATAAAAATTGGTGGTCAGGAAGTTAAAGTAAACAATTTAAATATCTTTGCTTAATTATTAATGAAGAGGGGTCAAGAATGGAAATAATTTCAAGAGCAGCACCAACAATGGCAGCTGTTGCAAAACTAAAGACAATTTGGAGAGTGAAGAACATCTGCCTGAAATCAAAGACCAAACTGTTATGTGCATTAAACTTCTCAATCTTTCTGTACATCTGTGAATCTTGGATATTAGAATTACAGCAAAGAATCCAGGTTTTAGACATGAGAGGCAACAGAACATCTTATGGTATCACAAAGTGTGTGAGAGTGTGAAATGGGCCCACTAGAAGATCTCTTAAGTTGAAAGGGTATAGACATGTCATAAAAGTCAACAATCTTTCTATTGCCATCCTACAAGGTGCCACCTTAGGTAAAAGAAGATGTGAACAGAGGGGAAAAATGGGGCTGACAAGATCATTGAGTGAACTGGAAGATCATTCACAGAGACAACTCAGATATTAAAATGCAATGGAAACATATATGGAAAGGGATGGTCATATGCACAGAGCTGTGTAGGGACCCTATGACCACACCCAGTCATGAGAATGATGATGAAAATTAAGGTCAAAAGGGAAAAAGGGAACAAGTAGAATTACTTTGTAATATATTGAAATCTTTCAAAGGTTAGCATTAAAATTTGTTAAAATCATTTTTAGGTGTCTATCTCAAAGGATAGCAACTGAAATCATTCAGCTTGGAAAGAAAGAACTTTGACAGATTAAAAGAAGAAAGAACAAGACTCGAAAGAATGGATTCTTGTTGTGCATTCTTATTTAAGATTCCGTTTTTAGGTTCATAACCAAATTCTGATTCTAGTTTATACATTTCTACCATAACTGTGTGAAATTGATCCAAGTAATCTCTTTCCAACTGATAAAATTTCTCCATACAAGCAGCACCAGGTTCAAAAAAATGAACTCAACTATATTCTTGTGTCATGATTTTTTATGCCCAGCTGACCTTGCAAAAAAAATTTGCATATGTTCACCCACTCTCGTGAATTCTCTTAGCTGAGACCATGTCTTTCATAACTTAAGGTGTCAGGGCGGCCATATTTCTGTTTCCTTTCTTTTATTTGTTTTGCATGCCAGGCATATACATGCTCGTTTTGCCACACAAGGTTATTAGTCTTCTCTTCTACAATAACAGACAAATTCTTTATTTTAAGAGGTTTTAATTTTAATGAAGTTTTAAATTTATTGAAAATTCTGGAAAACCATCAAAAACTGATTAGTTAGACAAAGTTGGTACTCCTCAAAAAATGACAGTTCATATAACAGTTTAAGTATCAAAATTCAAATAGGATTTTACACTATTTCAAAGATTTAATGATTGATTCATTCATTTTTTTACAGCTTGTCAACCCACTGTAGGTTATTAAAAGCCAGAAAATATTTTAGATTGTAAGAAATTTTTTCGAAATAATAGTTTAGTGATACAAATCATACTAATTAACCCATAGCTAAGGGGGGAAGAAGTGGATTCATACCTTTCTCTGAGGTATTTGCGAGTAAGTGAATATAATAAACCCAGTTTGAACTCGGCTCTCCGATTAACAATTCTAATCTATTATACGACCCACACAACCAAGTTTACAGCCCCTGGTATTTCCAAGCAGTCAACCATCTAGGTACTAATCTGGTTCAACATTACTTCAGTGATTGTAGGGGAACTGGTATTTCAACATGATGTGACCGTAAGTCCTACTATTTTAGAGAGGACATTATTTGGAAATGGTTAAGAAAACTAAGTCTTTTCTACAAGATTTTCTCATGAAAATCACTGATTCTTTCCACTTGGAAGAATTGAAGATCTTGAATGGAGGCTAAATAGTTATTAATGAAGAGAAGTTCAATATTTTCAATTTCAGCTCAGTGAATAGAGAAGGCAAAACAGGAAACTATCCAACAACCCTTTCCAGGATTAATCATGACAATTCACAGATATTAAAATAAAAGAAATAAAATGAACATTTACATCCTGAAGGTACACAGATAAAAAAAAAAAAGATTTTAGAGAGAAAAAAAAAATATTTAACTTATTTAAATATAATATTCTGAATACCATTTTTAAAATAAAGTTAACCATTAATCTTGCCATTATGTGGACCCAGTGACTGAAGGAGTTCTGCATTTTTCATCAGTGATACGAATAAAGCTAAAATTTAAAATGGATTTACATGGCAATTAGACTTTCTCCATACCAATTTTCATAAACTCATTTTTTTTAATGCATTTCGCCTGGATAATTTGCAGTTTAGGGCCCATGCTAAGTATCTAATAAAAATTTCCCAAATAGTTACATTTAGGTGTGTGCTAATGGCACTCTTGCCTTGCTTGGGGCAAAAGGGTAATTTGCAGTTTAAACCCCATGCTTAGTTTCTAATGAAAATTTCCTGAATAGTTACATTTAGGTGTAAGTTTACATGCTTAATTCAAAAATAATAAAGAAATTTTGCTAAAATCTACCATTTTGGAGTTATCAACAATAAAAGTTTGGACTCATTCGAGTTGCGGCTACAGCACAGCAGCCATTACTGGCATTGTTTACCTACATTTGAGCCGTCATTCACTCATAACCCTACCCTAACACTAACCATTGCATAGTAATTGAGATGAGTAAGATCAGTAAAAAGGCTGTTAACTAAATAAGATTCTATGAATGACTGTTCCGAAGTGAATGTATGTAAAAAACGCTAGTAATGGCGGACACAAATGAGTCCAAACTTTTATTGTTGATAACTTAAAAAAGGTAGATTTTAGAAAAATTTCTTTGTTATTTTCGATATTAAGCATGTAAACTTACACCTAAATGTAACTATACAGGAATTTTTATTAGAAACTGAGCATGGGGTTTAAACTGCAAATTACTCTTTTGCCCCAAGCAAGGCAAGAGTGCCACTAGCACATAAGGGGTTACAGAGAGTGAGAGCAAGAGTAAAGAGGATTGTTTGAGGAAAGGATAAAGAGAAGGATGAGGAACTAGATCAAAGCATGAGATGTCGATTGACATTACATTTGAATATTTGAAGATTATAGCTATCAGGGAAGACACAAAGAACCAACTTTCCTTGCAGTAGATGAAGCTATTGATTCCAACTTATTTTGTTTGGGGCGGGGGGGTATTAATCTTATAACAAAATCATTATTCATGGGAACAAGTGGTGTGTAAATTCATATGATTACAATACTAATTTCTTGGAAAATATTCTAAATATCTCAACAGTTGTTGAAACTAAAAACTGAAATCACTTTCTTAAACAGCTGCTGCTCATCAAAACCTTCAAAGTTCTCCATGAATAAACAATGCACAGATACATAAGTAAAGTCCTATAAGAATCCAAGAGAATAGCAAAAATGTGTTTGCATGTATAACATTTTGCAGAGTGCACAGGTATTACACTTTTATCTTTGGTGGAAGTGCTGATCCATTTTTAAATAATCACATTTTTGACAAGTAAAATGCTAGTTACTTTATAAATGCATTTAAAATATCTTATTAACTGTGAGCCTTTATATCTCAATTATTTATTTTCATCCATGGCACTATAGGAGAGGATAGAGGGCTTTAGCTGCTCCCCTTTTTACTGAAATTAAGAACTAAACAGGAAACTAAATTTGTTCTCTTGGCCTCAATCTATGACAATGCTGATTTCCCATCAATTTTAAAAATAAACCAGAAAACTTCATTTTCTATTTATATTACTTATATGCAGACTATTGTCCTCATCCTTATCACAACCAGTCTTCATCAGAAGGACACAATGGTTGATTGACAAAGTGATGACAAAGATGAGGACAATAGCCCAAATGTAAATAATGATAACTCCTCACCCCAGAAATTCAGATAGAAACTCCATTTTTATCCCCAAAACATTGGCTTAAGTTTTTCACATAAATCTTATTTGTGGAAAAAAAGTCTATAGATTTCATTAAACCTCACCTACCCGAAAAAAAAGTATGTGTGTGTAGGGTGGGGGAACTTTATTTAAATTCAAAACAGGAAAATGCTGACAGTTGGGCAATAGATCTAAAAAAAAAAAAAAAAAAAAAAAAAATTGATGCGAGGATCAGAGAAGGGGAAAAATAGAAACTGGAATTTTGAAAACTAAACCTCTGACTTAACTTCTTCCTGTCTTTTATTAGAACACTCTGCTTGCTCATTTGGAAGCTTTTTTATTCATTTTTCTCTCTCATTACAAAATTCTTTTGAAGAATCAGAAACCATAATTTAAGAAATTTAGCACAAAATATTTCTAGTGGTTAATAGCAGCTTCTTGTTATTGTAACAATGGCTTTGAACTGCCCTGCCCAAATACTAGACAAGGCATGACTCTTACAGCTTCTGTTCTTAAATGATTGGAAATGGTAATATATACATGTCATGCCTTGGTGAATTAAAATGGGATGCAATAAATATCCTGTTTAGTAATGGCTCTCATGGCTTCTGATCTTAAATGATTGGGGATGTTAACATGGACATTTTTGTTTTTTTATTGGTGAATTAAGATTGGCTACAGTAAATATCAAATTGACTACTACAGATTAGCTTGTCAGTTGCCTGACTGTAATCAGTTTGAAGGATGAGGCATCCAAGGTAACTTGAGCACATCCACAATTGGACACTGTCTGAAGACACTGGGCTACCCAATCTGAAGTTATTTCTAATTATCAAAACCTGTAACCATTTCATGTACATTTGGCTGTGATGCATGTGCCTGGTATACCTCTATCAAACTGGTTATCATGATACTCAAGTCCTTCAGGAGTATAGGTCTACAGCTATCACCACACTAGGCATTGATGCTGTGATTACCATAACAAGTAGTAGGTTTTTATGGGATGGACTTGCTAATGCCATGACCAAATGGTTTGGTTATACTGGGCTTCACTCATTTGTAGCCCAGCACCCCTTTGTTGGCATGTTGCTTTATCATTTAATAATACTAATAATATCATTATCAGCTTCTGTTAAGACTGCATTAACCAAATAAATGTTTTGCATAAGGTGTTTCTTATAATTAGAAAAAAAACTGCTTTAAAGGAGTAGTAGAAAAATTTATTATCCCTATTCTTTCACACCCAGTAACTCCTTGTGTCTTAGTGGCTGTATTACCTTGCTTAGGGTGAAATAATTTTTTTAAAAAAATTCCTTTCCTTTTACAAGTTTTTTTATTTTATTTTTCTCTAGCTTTCTTATTCTCCCCCTTGCCTCCTCCACTCCTCCGCCTCCTCCTTCACTTTCTCCCCCCCACCTCCTCCACTCATTCTTTTTTACCCCCCTTGCCTCCTTTCCCTTGCTTTTCTTAATTCTGTATGCATGTGAAGGAGTTCACCATAGTTAGGATCATAGAGTCAATATGAACGATCCTTTCCTTAGCTGCATAGTATGTGCTTTACTAGGGCTACATACAATTTTGAATTCAGTGTTTTCTTTATCCTAGACTGGTTGCTACTCAAGGCTATAGAACCCAATCTGTCCTACTATTTACCCATAACTGGGGGGAGAAGAATTGGATTCATACCCTTTCCAAGACTATTAGAACGTAAGTAAACACAACTGGAATTTGAACTCGGCTCTCAGATACCTCAATCTGAGTCACAATCCATTACTCTACCATATCTTCTCTAAGGCCATGCATATGTAGGTTGGCCATTAAAACACAGCAGGTATTATACTGATCTTAAACATATGGCCAGGGGATATCACAGATCTTGGACAGAAGTTTCATTTTTTTTTTCACTCCAAGCAAGCCACTAAGATTCAA